GGGTGACTTGGTTTTGACCTCTTGCAGACAACAGCCACATAGAGCCCATCACAAGTCACCTGCAGGACTTAGACATCCTTCATTATACATATGTGGTAAAACTTATGAAGGAAGAAGAACGAGCACTGTACACAACTTCTACTGCATCTTTTCAAGAAAAGTCAATGGTTAGGCCCACGTATATTATCAGGACTTTGAATATGTATTATACAGGGCATGACGGGATTGACAGCTTCATAGGTGTATGGGGTAGATACCAATAAGCACACCGGCCAATGAAAAGAAGAGAATATATTTGGCAACTTGCCCCCATACATCCTCCTCAGTTCTTATGATTTAAGACATCAAAGAGCATCCGTACCTGAGCAGGAGAAATGCAGTGATATGTCAGTATATCCTGGAGACTCCAGTTAGTATATGCCATAGCACTGCTGTGAACACAGATGTATTTGGATGGCAGAGTATGTACGTCCAGTAGCAACCCAGAGATAAACAAGTCATCAGATTAACTACTGTTGTAAAGTCTGTGCTGATATCTCTTGTGAAGGAGTAAGAAAATGGGACAACACTGACGAAGCTGTTTGGCAAATTTCTGACAATAATACACAAGGAGCAGCTTCTTTTTGCTCCCCCCGGGTAGAAACAATACAGATAGTTTTGGTTTTACTCTTTCTTCTAGGCAGATGAGAAAGTTGGCCTAAACTTTCTTCTCCAAGAACTCCCAGGAAGTTCCCTTTGTTGACTATGATGCTAGAATTTTATGATTTCAGTTCTTTCTTCAGATATATATTCCTAAAGACAGATAGTAATGAACAATTCAAAAGAGAAAGGTTCAACCAAGTTGGTGTAACTGTGTTGGACTGTCCTTACAAATCACAGTTTGCCCAAAGTATTTCAAGTGTCTAGAACACCAGATGTGGACACAATCACATTATATTCTGCCATAAGTTGCACTGATATTTGGTGTATCGATTACTCTGTATATCTGAGAAAAACATATTTCTACTCATTGCATCTAGCATTTTAGGAGTGGGGAGCAAGAGAGGTTGTCAAAAAGAGCACAGCAGGCTTTGTTATCTTTAGAGCTATGTGCTGTCACTGCCATCACTGATAATTCTGCAACAGGTGAGTCTGGAACAATGAGGTGGCAGTTAATGTAACTTGGGAGCTATTCTGGAAGCTGTAGTCCAGCTGCTGGATTTCATCAAGTATTTGTTGCTGGTATGATAATAATTTTGTTTCTGAAAGTCTAGAATACCAACAATAATGTGAATAATTTTCACTAAGACTTAAGAAGGGATATTCAAAATAGCAGCCATCTTTTTATAAGCTATGAAGTTTAAGCTTGTTTTCTAGGGTAGAGGAATGTGATGCAGCCACACTGTCATCTGCTGAAGTCAGGGCATCCAGATCCATGTCTGTGTTCAGATGTTCAATGAGACATTTCATTTTTCATTATTTCGTATTAATGAGACACCCTCTGTATTAGTGAGTTGCCAAATACAACCTATGCTGGATGCTTGGCTGTGAAAAGCCCAAGACAGTCAGATTGCTTATGGAGATGCCTCTCACTCTCTGCAGGAGAATCCATTCCATAACCTGGGTATGGGAGACTGAGACAGTGCTCTGGGAGATGATCAAAGATATGCAATATCTTCTATATGAGGAACAATTAAGTAGCATTGGACTTTTCAGCCTGGAAAAGAGAGAACTTTGAAGGGATATGACAAATCTAAAATTGTGAGTGGCACAGAGTCTCAATCACCTGTTCACTGCGTCTTCCAGTGCAAGAATCACAGAATCATTAAGGTTGGAAAAGACCTTTAAGATCAAGTCCAACTATCAACCCAACACCACCATACCCACTGAATCATGTCCTGAAGCACCATGTTGACACACTTTTTGAATACTTAAGAGCAAGAAGCTGTCAATGAAGCTACTGTGAGATAAAGTAGAAAAACTCAAAAGAAATGAGGCAGGTTCTTTCTGCAACAGAGAGTAGGCCTGTAGAATCACTTACCAAATGATGCTACAGCTGCAAAAGCTTACATGGGCTTAAGAAGACACTGACCATGTACTCAGATGGCAGATCCCTGGAGGATACTAAACTGACAAGTCACAAAAGTTCAAGAAAACCCTTATCTGTAAATAGTTGGGAAGATGGGACAGCATTATAGAGAAGTATCATGTTTGCCTTGTTCTTACCCTTTCCTGGGTGTCTGCATATGGCCATTATGTGAAACAGAATGCTGGACTAAAGGGATCGTTCGCCTGAACCATTACAGCTATTCCTTGGTTATGATCTTGCCAGAACCACAAATCTGGGCTCTCTAGGAATTTCCTTTCCTTAGGAAATTAGTGCAATCTTTAGTACTATCACAGTAATATCAATAGCTGAAGAAATCAATGAAGTCACACTTCATTTTCAAGGTCAGACTGCGGGCCACTGCACCTGCACTATCTGTCTGAGAAACTGTCTGATGACCTTGAGTCTCAACACCACACCTCAAATTACATGTAGGCCTCAAAGTCGAAAACTGGAAGGATACCTTTTTGCTTCAAGATGTGGATCTTTATTATTATTCCCAGCAAATTTTTTTTACCAGAAGTCTAACACGCTTGTAAAGTCAGAAACAGTACTAGTGGATTTTGACATCTCAGAACTCGCTTTAGCTGAGATGGTCAAAATGCTCTTAAAGTTTTTCTCAGCTTTTCTAATGTGTTAGAACATGAAGTATAAAAGCTGACCTCCCAAGCACATGTGAATCTCTCTGAGATACTAATGCTTCCTTTAAGAGCAGTATTTGCAGAAGAGTTTAGCATGCCTTTCCAGATGCTGGCAATGCTAGATATAGAACCATCAAGAAAGTTGATTGATTTTCTCAAGGCAGCTCAAAAATTCCGTATTTAGTATCTGGGGTAGCAAAAGGCTAAAAAAACCTAAAACTACAGAAACACTGATGAACACGTAATGGAAAATTAGCTGAGGAGGGTGATGCAGACGCACCTAAGAGGTCCTGCACAGAGACAACTTCCAAGTGTGGAACAGTGATAGCAACTCTGAACAAGATCCTGCAGAGGCAGAGCAACTTGGTGCTCAGGAAGTCAGATGCAGTCAACTACAGTTCAGCAACATCCCTTGATTTTCTCCAGCCTCCTGGAGCCCCAAGCATGAGACCTGAGTTTCATGCAGACAAGCCTGAGTTCAGTTAGCTTGGTCTAGCTCAGAGTTCAAGGACAACACATGGTTGTTGACCCAGTTCCATAAGGAGATAATCTGGCATCTCTACTCATGGCACCATGTTTCCAAGGCCACTAAGGTGCTCACCTTCACAGCTGGATCCCACACCGTATCAATGGCTTGAGCTACAAATTACAGTATACTCAGCTTACCTTTCTCAATACATTACAGCTGGGTGAGCAGCAAGGAGTAATTAATTTTTAAATGTTAGATAAACAGCATTTGCACTTTCCAAGTCAGTAAGTCATCTCTACCTTCTCCAAGAAATCTTTTAGCATAAAGGCTAGGATTTAAAAGACTGATGATTTCCAGATATGTGTGAATGAGACAAGAATTCTTATCTCTCAACATCTACTCATCAGTAGCAGAAATAAAAGCAACTGCATTCCTAAAAAATTACACAGCTCCTGCCAGCTTTTCATTTATGTTGCTGGACTTAAAGCAGAAACAAATGGAAGCCATTTGGGGCTCTTCCTGAAATAGAAACAAGAATTGGAACAGAATTATCATTGGTTGCTAAATAAAGGAAAAACTGTAGTGTAGAAACTCTGGAATCATATTATCTTCACTCCAGACACTCAAGAGATTACTGCTCTAAAAAAATAAATCTGGCCTAAATCTGGCTCAGAAATGCAATGAGCTCTAGCTTTCTTATATAAATGCTTGCAAGAGTACAATGGGTCAGGCCACAGCAAGCATATGAATAAGAAGTATTAAGAAGTATTTGCTACAAACACTCATCTCAAAAAAACTCTGTGCCAGACCTTGCTTCCCTGGCTTTCTAGAGAGGGGGCATAAACCTTGTGTATGCATCATGCTTTCAAAAAAATGCTGAACCACAAAGTAGACATACAATGCCCCAAACAGGTCATTAAATTCACACACACATACTACACATACATGTATAGTTATCAACTCATGCATTCAATCTACAGATGTATGTAAAATAATCTTTACAGAAAATCTTATCATTAGTGAATACACACATATACATACATACCTGTGTATGTACACAACACATGCTGAATTACTAGCCTTTTAGAAGTTAATATTAGAATACTTCAATGGGCTGCTTGACAAGAGAAAAATGCATTTAACAATATCAAGAAATATAACGACACTGGCTACACAACAGCTTATTTATTTTCCTTTATTTTTTCAAGATACTTATATGTAGCCTATATCGTATTATAATTAGTTTAGGATGATTAATAGTGAAGAATGCCTGCCATTGTACTCCTCTAAGGTGCAATACAGATATAACAATGTTTTTTCTTTTCTGTTTTCAGAGGAATGAGTGCAAGAGGTTACTATGTGTGCAGCAGTGTCCCTTTAAGTAATCTTTTTTTTGGCTGTGCATCCAGGGCAGCTAATAGTTTTATCAAATACCCTTCACAGCAAGACGACTGTTTCCATGGAAACTGTGGAGCAATCATCCATTACTCCTGCAAAGATTTCTCTCAGCTCTCTCCTAAATACAGGTAGCTACTTTCTCTCAAACGAAATAGAACGGAAGAATGAATTGTACAGTTTGTGTGACAGAGCTTAATATGGAGGTGATGGAGAAAGTGGGGCCTAAGAGAAAGCACATGCAAAGAAGCCGTAAAGAAGCTTTAAAACAGGGACAAATTCTGTCAAGTCTGCAATGTAAAATACAGCTGATGGAGAGGATGCAAGATTCTTTCCTCACAGCTGTGAAATGGAGAGGAGATAGAGAAGAGCTTAAGATTGGGGGTGAACCCAGAGCTTGGTCACTCACCTCTCTCAGCATGTTGGTTTCTTTTTCCTTCTGTTCGAGAAGGCTTTCCAAGTGGTGCACGTGCATCTCTGCCTCAGCCAACCGTCTTGTTCGCTCATGATCTTCCTCAGTGGCTTTTGCTGACAGACCTTTACTCTGCAGCATCTCCAGCAGCTTTTTGATGGACTCATCACGTGCATTTAAGGTCTGTTTCTGCGTCTCAATACGCAGTTCCATCTCTTCTAGGGTTTTACGTAGCAGGAAGAGTTCCTTGGCCTGGCGCTCATGCTCTGCATGAAGTCGTTGGAAGTTTTCCTCCGTCAGCTCTGCCACAAAGGGCTCACTGGTTCTAGTGCTGCTGTCCTGCTGGAACAGCTGGTTCAGGTCCCGCTGGATCCGAAGCTCATCTTGGAGAGCCTGGATAGTCATCTGCATATGCTAAAAGAATAAAGAAATAGAATCAGAGGATTCCCTCCACAAACTAACATTGTTCTTTGAAAGCAGAACTGAGGTGGACTGGGTTATACAGAAAATTCAAGTCCCTCCTTCTATGCCCCGTAGTGGTTACTTAGCACTAGAAACCTCTTGCCTGAGTGACTCCCCGCCTTCTACCAACTTGAGTGAGTCGCTGTTTCCAATGGGAAAATGTCAGTATAGGAATATGTTGGTAAGCTGAGACCTTAAAATATTTTTTTTTTTTTCCAAATGCTTTCCTACCCTATAGGAGAATTCTGCATAAGAAGTCCTAGACTAGAATTACTATCTTGACAAAGCAGAGGGACATATGACTATTAGAATTTACATACCATCTAATAAAATTTAATCAGCCCTGAAGGCTCCCAAGGTCTTCAGTACTAACAGTACACATAGCACAGATTTTCCAGTTGATTTCAGCATTCAGGAAGAACTACAACTATAGAAAACTGGATACATGCTGACTGGGGAGAAGGGTCACATCATACAACTTTATGCATGAGGATTTTAGTACAAAATAGAAATTACCATATTACAAAGAAGAATGTGAAGTCAATCAAATGATCAGCAGTAATTTGTGGTTGTGCAAACAATAAATCCTGTCTCAATGACTCTGAACACAGTGGGTTAATATAGTGGGATAATATGGGAGAAGCAGATTACATAGGAAAAAAGTCCTCACTTCATATTTAGATAAACATTTGCTTTCTTCTCTGCAAGACCGAAGTATTAATACGATAACGGAGAAGTACTAACACACTGAACAAAGATCTGATTACCAGGGATGAGATACGGACCATGGGATACATCTCTACTCCCTTAAGAGTGGCAGACACGCTTACAGTTTAGTCTGAATATGAACAAGTCAGATGGACTGATCCCTGAGGCCTACCTTTATATTACAAGAATCAGTATCTGCAATACAGGTACTTCCAGTATTCACTAGAACTAAAGTATTAGTTAGTTAGAATTATAATCTGTTACCAAGCTTGACAGAGGAGACATAGCATTAAGGTCTATAATGTAAAGATGGCGCCAAATTAATATGTTTGACATAAATCCAAGTACTTCATTTCACTCAAATATTTGTGAAATGAGGAGATGTAAAAAGATTTGGGTTTAAGTATTACTTCAAGAATATATTTATCACAATTCTTAGCTCAAATTCCTTGAAGATATTCAAAAGCCATCTGGAAATGGTCCTTGGCAATCATCTCTAGGTAGACCTGCTTAAGCAGGAGGGTTGGACCAGTTGACCTCCAGAGGTCTCTTCCAACCTCAACTATTCTGTGATTCTATGAAAAGGCAATAGAAGATAGTATTTGCAGCACAGTTACCTACCTATAACCTGTTTTATAAACATTAACAGTTAATTTGGTTGTACAGAATGGTGCATAAAGGCAGTCCAATCCCATTTTCTTTACAAAGGTCAGTATTTGAGACCGAGTATTTTCCCTTCTTTTGTGTTCTGGACTAAGAAGAGCTTTTCAAAGCTAAAGGTGCTGTTTCACAATCGGCTCACCTAAGTCCACACTGCCATTAAAAGGAGCAGTCCAGCTTTCTGTCCCTCCTTAGGTGGCTGGCACTGACAACTGGATCGAAACTTCACCTGGCTGAAAACCAGCCCCATCAAAACCAAACGTCTTTGCAGTCCAACCTCTGATCCAGTTGACAGTGTGACTACACCGATGCTGATCCTGGTGCAAACTAGGGGTGGGAGCATGCAGTGAAGGAGCTGGTGGAGAAGAAAATGGAACCACCCTTAATGGTATCGCCATAAACTGAAATCAGCTTAAATGCATGGTTTCATGATTGATTTAAGATGCTATAATTGTCTTTTCTTCTATGTCAATAACCCAATACTTGACAGTTACTAATTCTGTTAATTTAAAATGACACTTTAGTTTATAGAATCTCTGTGATAACATAGCACAGGTATATTAGGTGAGGGGAAAATTACTCTGTTCTAAAAAGTGCATCATGTTTATATATTGGTGGATGCTCCGATTTATTTTCAAGTCAGCATTTAGCAGTGTAAGAAAAAAGAAATATCTCAAAGGAATCAATATGGATTTTGAAAATGTTTTTAGAAATAACTTTTTCTTTTTTTAATTAAAGATTTCAATTTTCAGTTATTGTCATTTCTCCAAACCACAGTCAAAGTGAGAATGTCAGAAAACATTCAAGCCTTAAAACTGAGGCACTACCACAAATATGCCAGTGTGCAGGTAGGCAAAACTACTACATCTGTTCAATTACCGTATGTTGACCAAGATGTAAGAGAAAACCTACTGCACTCATGAAAAGATTTGCCTCATCTGTACCTATACAACACCAATAAAGTCAGTAGGTCTACAACAGCAGCAGTGAGAGAATATCCTTAAATTTTGTTGAACTTAAATAATAACATCACTAGATTAACAACTTTACAATTCCACACACGAGTTAATTCCATTTGTATCTGAGAAGCCCTACTTATCCACAGCCCAGCTGTGTGTTGTTCCTCCAGCTAACAAACAAATTCCCACATGCTTCCACCTGCCTCTCCACATACTGCCACTTCAGCACTTCCTTTCTCTCAGGCTAGAAAAGAGCTTCTTCTGAACAACCACATCATCTACTAAATGAAATTACTTCCTCTACTCAGTGCTGTCTCAGAATCAAACTTGGGTTATTTATAAACATCAATGGACTAAATCACTACAACCAAACTCCCGCATTTTTACCATTTGATCCGCAGTAAAATCTCATTTCAGATTACATAGGCAAAAATTGTGCCTCAGACCCACAAACTTACGTCCCCCGAAGTTGGAAAAGCCTCCATGCAACTTTTGGGTCAAAGAACTGAAATCTATTATATGATTCAGAAACATGATGTGGAATAAAATTTAATACCAGTGACAAACAGTATTTATTGGTATCCATCAATCTGTTAAGTAAGGACAAGAGAGTTTGGAACACCTGACACAAATGGTCAGCAACTGCCTTGAATTCAGTTTCCCAGGAAAAATGAGGTGGTGGGGTGAGAGGAAGGGTTAGGACTCAGTTTATGAATTACTATCACTGTTCTCTAAGCTGCCCAGCTGAGAACAAACTTCATTATGTGCAAGGTAACTGGAAAATACACCATAAAAAATTATGCTATGCCTTTGACACCCACCCCTTTCCAACATGCAAGATGTATGCAAACTGGGTTCTTTGCTCTGCTCTCCAAAAATTTTTTTATGATTTTCAGAATAATGGAACAAAACCCTTTATTAATTGGCATCATAAATAAACTAACTAACTAAATAAATAATTTCAGTTAACATAGCTCATCTTCTACATCATTTCAGAGAAAACATCCTTTTCCCTCTGAAGGACCAGGCAAGTCTTACTAGCTTCTTATCCATTTCTCAGACTTCATTTTAAAATCAGTGACTATCCCAGAAAGGCAAAATATTTTCCAAGTTCATGCGATACTAGCCAGTGATGCTTAATCCTATTTCTAGGACCTGACTGGAGACCTCAATCTAACTTGAAAAATGCTGTTGAAATTGTCTTACCTAGACATAAACAAGTAAAAATACTTTTAATACCACTGAGCTTGGTTATGTCATATTCTGATGAATAAGTACCAATCACACTTTTCTTAATTAGTTTAATAAAGGCAACAAAATTAAAGTCAAAACAATTATGTTGAACCTATACTTCAAAAAACATGTGGACGTGGCACTTCAGGACATGGTTTAGTGGGCATGGTGGTGTTGCGTTGATGGTTGGACCTGCTGATCTTAAAGGTCGTTATTGCTCTTATTTCACACCTTGAGGATTCCCTGTTTTTTCAAGCACTGAAAATTGGTCTTTAAGCCTCACTGCAAATTATAACTACACATGCAAATCACAAAAGACATTTTTGTGAGCACAGTTCTCTAGTAGATCTCTTGCTGATTACGTCTAATGTACTTTTCTCTTGACAGAGCTAAGCTCCTTCAGGCCCACCTCAAATGTAAATCCTAAAAGGGCAAGGTGCAAACATAACCTTTTAGCAGGTGTTCCTCTGCCTGTATTACTTCCATGGGGCAACTCAATGTTTGTTAACTGGGCTCTACACAGGGACAGAGTTTGCCTTTCATCCAGCAGCATAAAATTTACATCTGTAAGTAGCAGAACATGATTCAATCTTCGCCTCCACCTAACAGGATTCAAATTCACATTTCCCACACCTTGGCAGATTGGTTAGATAAGTTTCCAACCTACAGTATGACTACAGTCAATGATACAGAAGTCCCTTATACTTGGTTCACAAAGCAGTCCTGTTGTTGCAGTCTCAGGATAATGCAACATATTTATTGCTATACTGGCGAGTTTGAGAACCTTGCTGCAGGCATCTCTTTTCATCTCTCCTTGTTGAAGCTTTTCCATTTTGCATGAAATATTTAAAGATTCAGTAGGCCTGACAGAAAATACTAAAGAGAGCACAGCTTCTTATTCTAATTGGTAGAACACATAAGAACAGAAAGACCTGAATAGCAATACTTGCAATTAACTTAAATGTTTATCATCTTACCATTCTAAAGGAAGTGGGGGATGTACGTTTTAACATCCTCAGACAGAAAAGGGAATTTAAATGATACTCTACAGGCAAGACCTGTATTCTAACCCAACATTTTAGATCAAAAGGAGGCAGCCATTGCTAGCATGATTTTGAAAGAACGGACTAAATTGTGACACGCTTTCCAAAGAAAGGATTTCCACACTCATCTTTGCAAGACAGAGCTTGACCTACCAAGCTACAGTGTTTAAGATTCCAATACACATTTGTCCATTTCGTTTTGGTCACCTGATTTGGGCTATTAATGCTGCAGATACTGTCTTCGTAGCTACCATAATCAGATATAGAAGTCATCCCATACTTTATTCAAGAAGTTTACATGCCTAAATTAGACTGTGCGTTCTGCAACAGAGGTGAGGCACCTAGGCAC